CCAGGGAGGCAGCAAAGCCTTCGAGTCTTCTGGTTGGTGTTGCAGATGATTGTGTCTGTCTGTCTAATAGTCTCATCCCCAATGACGACAACCATCCGCTCTTTTGCCCCAGTGTTAGAGGTAGTTTTTCCTGCCCCCTCACCATCCAAGGATCCCCACTACCACTCTTTCCGTTGTCCCCCCGACCTCCTGACTGTCCATTGACCTATCCTGATCATAATCAAAGTTGAGTGTATATTCCCTGAGGGGAGTGACTGGCTCCAGGATGTCGCTATCCAGGAAGCATTCGCTGTCTCTGATACTCCGCAGTGTCTGCACCTCGGACTCCAGCTCCGCCACTCTGACACTCTGAGCTGGAGCTGCCTCAGTTGCAGACATCTTCTGCAGATCTCGTTACCCTGAGTCAGACTGCCCTCCGTCAGCTCCCACATGGCACACTCCTCATATAACACCTGCCACTCCATTGTCACCTCCTCCAACTTGAGTAAGTTAGTTAGTTAACTTAAGTTAATTAAGTTTTAATTTAATCAATTTAATCCAATTAAGTTGATCGGGTTAACTCTGCGGTGTGTGATGTGCTGATAGTTGTTAGTTTACTGTTGATACTGACGTTGTTCTGACATCACTTTTTAATTGTCTCTCTGGTTTTTTATCCTCTGCTCTCCTCGCCCCCCACCCCTCACCCCCCGCTCCTCGCCCCCCTGCCACTCGGCACCCGCCCCTCCCTCGCCCCCCGCCCCTCCCTCGCCCCCCGCCCCTCGCCCCCCGCCCCTCGCCCCCTGCCACTCGGCACCCGCCCCTCCCTCGCCCCCCGCCCCTCCCTCGCCCCCCGCCCCTCGCCCCCCGCCCCTCGCCCCCTGCCACTCGGCACCCGCCCCTCCCTCGCCCCCCGCCCCTCGCCCCCCCCCTCGCCCCCCGCCCTCGCCCCCTGCCACTCGGCACCCGCCCCTCCCTCGCCCCCCGCCCCTCCCTCGCCCCCTGCCCGTCGCCCCTCACCCCACCCCTCACCCCCCGCCCCTTAGCCCCCACTCCTCACCCCCCGCCCCTCACCCTCGAAACCTCCCCCCACCCCTCAACCTCCAACCCTCCCCCCACCCCTCACCCCGCCCCTCACCCCACCTCTCAACCCCCTGCCCCTCACCCCCCGCCCCCCACCCATCACCCCCGCCTCTCGCCCCCCTGCCCCTCGCGCCCCCGCCCCGCCCCTCAACCATCTCCCCTCACCCCGCCCCTCAACCCTCACCCCCCCACCGCCGCCCCTCACCTCCCACCCCCCAAACCTCACCCCTCAGCCCTCACCCCGCACCTCAACACTCACCCCCACCCATGCCCCTCACTCCACCCCTCACCCCTCAGCCCACCCAACCCTCACCCCCAACACCCCTCCCCTCACCTCCCAACCCCCGCCCCTCACCCTCCGCCCCTCACCCCCCACCCCTCTCCCCTCCAACCCTCACCCCCCACCCCTCACTCACCAACTCACAATCACCAATTCACTCTCACCAACTCACACTCACCATTTTACTCACCAACTCACAATCACCAATTCACACTCACCAACCCACACTCATCAACTCACAATCACCAAATCACTCACCAATTCACACACACCAACTCACTCACCAACTCACACTCTCCAACTCACACTCTCCAACTCACACTCACCAATTCACACTCACCAACTCACACACACCAACTCACTCACCAACTCACACTCCCCAACTCACACTCACCAACCCACACTCATCAACTCACACTCACCATTTCACACTCACCAACACACACTCATCAAATCAAAATCAATTCAAGTCACCAAATTACACTCACCAACACACACTCACAAACTCACAATCACCAAGTCATATTCACCAAATCACACTCACCAACTCACTGACGAGTTCACACTGACCAACACACACCAACCAACTCACACTCACCAATTCAGAAATAACAATTCACTCACCAACTCACAACCACCAACTCACAACCACCAACTCACAACCACCAATTCACAATCATCAACTCACTCTCTCCAACTGACACTCACCAATGCACACTTACACTTTACGGGGGCCGGAAGCGGATTCGCGGGAGGAAGTGTGTCAGGGGGCTGGAAGCATATTCGGGGCTCTTCCAGACTCCTTCCTTGTCAGCGTCTCCATCTCTTTCCCTCCACACAGACAGCAGATCATCCAGAGCTCTGCAGCCCATGTCCTCTCCCGCAACAGGCTCCGTGCCCCCATCACCCCACCCTCACCCGACTCCACCTGCTCCCCATCCCTAAGAGGACAGAATTCAAAATCTTCATTCTTACTTTCAAAGCCCACCACGGCCTTGTCCCTGTGGTAGGAACCTTTCGGACCTGCTGACCCTCTATTAGCCGGTCTGCTCCCTCTGCTCAGCGGGCTCCAGCTACTCCGTGTCTCCCGCCCAATCTGCCCTACCATCAGCGGCCGAGCTTTCAGCAACTCTAATCTTTGGAACTTCTTCCCACGGTCCCTCGGCCTCGCTGCCTCCTTCAAGGCATGAGTCAAGATCTTCCTTTTTGACCGTTCTCCTGCCGCCCTCCTGCCTCTCTACACCTCCCCCCCACCCCCTCCTCACGCTCACATCCTGATCCTTCACTGTCCGGGCTTTCTCGATGTGAAAGACGCTTTACAAATGTAATTTTGTTGGGTTTTTTGCATATTATTGTTGAACTTTGGGGTGTTTTGGTGGATTATTATTTGTTTGGGATTTTCTCATCATTTTTTTGCGTAGATTCAGGTCACCCCAATACCCAGACTGCACCACAGGGCACATTGCTGACCCCTGGTCATATGCCCCCGATTCATATAACCACACGTCACACAGCGCGGGTGGCCTCCACCTGGCAGCAGCTCAGAGCCCCTTCCGGGCAGACGGTGAGCTGATGCCTGGACGTCATTGGTGTATTTGCGGTTGGAATCCTCATGTAACAATGGTGAAAAATTACGAATGTAATTTTGTTGTTGTTTGTCAATTGGCTTTTCTGGAGGTAACAATTCCTTCAAAAATGTTTTAATAATTTGGTCACTTAATCCACATCTGTTTGTGGGCCACTGTTGTGCGCAATTCACTGCTGCATTCGCCCACAAAACATAAAAGTCAAGTCACTTTACAGTATAGAAGACGTGATAAAGCACAATATCCCAGCTTCTCTCGCCTCTCCTGATAACTGAAGCCCCTCATTCCTGGTACCATCCTGGTCAATCTCCTTCACACCCTCTCCAATGCCTTGACATCGTTCGTCAAGTGTGGGGCCAGAACTGAACACAGTCTCTCGCTGAGGCCTAACCAGTGTTTTATATAAAGGTTTATCATAACTTCCAGACTTGTGTATTCTATGACCCTATTTATAAAGCCCAGTATCCCGTTTGCTTTTTTAACAGCTTTATCTGCCTGTCCGGCCACCTTCAAAGATTTACTATATGACCCCCAGGTCTCTCTGTTCCTTCACCCCCTTTAAGATTGTCCCATCAGCTTATATTCCTCTCCTCATTCTTCCTCTCAAAATGCATCACTTTGCATTTCTCCACATTAAACTTCATCTGCCACCTGTCTGCCCATGTTACCAGTCTGTCTCTGTCCATTTGCCGTCTGCTACTATCCTCCTCACTGTTTACTACTCAGTATCATCTGCAAACTTGGAAATTGTACACCCTATACCCAGGTCATTTCTAGTGTGAATTTTCAGTTTTATCATATGGTCCTTTAGCTTCAGTTACATCTTCTTGGAATTAGGTCAAGACCAAGCACTGTTACAACCGGCAGATTTTTTACCCGATCAGTCTGCCTGAATTCAAACACGAGTCCCAGAAGTAAAAGTGTATTAACCACTTGTGATCCGTCAAACTTGACCTGACAATTCCACATTTCCCCTGAGACAAAGAGTGAGGCCCTCTCCATCAACATCCTATAATTATCAGAACCATTAAAAGCTCCCTTTGTTCCAAGCATGCACAAGTCCAGCATTGAATGCAGAGAGCAGGATATCGTAATATTCATTGCAATTGTAATAATCCATGCATTTGATGGACCTGACACATCTTTGGGATGTCAAAGCGCTTCAAGGACTATACTGTAAAGTGAATTGACTACCTTGTGGGTGAAATGCAGCAGCCAATTTGCGCAAGTAGTGTCCCACAGTCATGGATTGAGTCACCAAATTATTATTATAATTTTTTTTGAAGGGATTATTACCCCTGGAAACATGTTCTGCCAATCGACTAACAACCGGGTTCCTAATTACTTACTGGTAGGTAAACAGGGATGTGGAGTAAGGAAACTTCGCAACATTTCGCACTGCCCGGGAATCAAATCCAGGTCCTCTCATTTGTTAGGCGAGTGCTCTAATCACTAAGATAAAGAACTCGAGAAGCACCTTATGTTTAAACATGTCAAAACTTTTACAGAGGTTTTCTGTAAAATGTTGTGACTGTATTCTTGAATGAATGTGACACATGGGAATTATTCACCAATTAATTGCATTCGCTGGAGGACATTGGTAAAGTGGCTGGTGAATTGTGGTAGAGGAATAAGTTACCTGTCATTTCATTGCACAAACCAATGTCTATGTGCGAGGGGTAAGGGGGAGTGGAATGGTCCGGAGGTGACGATATGTTCTAAAGGATGACCATTGTGCTCAGTGAGAAGTATATGACACATATACGTCAACCTAAAGGATTTGGTATCATGGAGATAGCTTCTGTTCCATTGTAGCTAATTAATAAAGAACTGCAGAAATTACTTCAGGAACAATTGCACATCTGCCTAATCTAAAATATTAGGTTTAGAATTGAAAAGCATAATGCAGTAGGTTAATTGCTGCAGTAGTAACTGATCTTGAAATCATATTTGATAGGCGTCAGCAGCATATGTGAGGATAATGCTAAATCAAATCAATTTTGTTTGCCAACAAAATACAGTCACTCCACTTTACGATACATCCTGTGAAGCACTCTGGGATGTCCTCCTGATGTGAAAGGCGCAAGGATTATTTATTGTTAACACATCAAATTGCTATTAAAATGCATTTTGAACCCTCAATAGAAACTGAATTATAAGATGAAACAAAGCACTATTAACATAAAACGTAGAAATACAAAGCCCTCAAATCTCCCCAATTCTCCAGGAAGAAGCTTCAATTAGGTGGGAGGTAGACACCGTCCCATAGGACCAGGAACATTGACAAACATAGTTGTCCTCCGATGGCTATCTCCATCTCCTCGAGGCTCTTCATTTTGTTTTGTTACATTAGGATCGTTCTCCTGTAATTTAAATGAAAAATGAACATCATTAACTTTCTCATACAGAAGATCATCATGACACAACAGAAGAATTGCCATCTTCTACGATGCAAATTTCTATTCCAAAAATGATCGTGTAAGTTACACATAACACTCTCTAGTAAAAATAACTAAAACACTTCAGCAGTTCATTAAAATAATTTAATTTCCTACAAAGAAATGTTGAATAAATATTTGAAGAGGAAGAAGATAAAAGGAAAGAGCAGGGTCTTGCAAGTACATCCTCATCTCCAATGGGGGAGATGGCAACCCTTTTCTACGCCTCAATTTCTCTAATTCTACGAAGATTAATTGGCAGAATATTACTAAAATGGAATTTAACAAATTGAAAATATTGTGAATCATGGGACACATTGGAGACAAGCTCAACAGTTATGCTATTTTTATACACACTCTATCCTGTATAAATATAAGTGTTGTAATAATATAATAATAATCCTTGCATTTCATATAGCGCTTTTCACGTCTTCTAGACGTCTCAAAGTGCTTCACAGAATAAAGTGAATTGACTGTATAGTTTGTGAGCGAAATGCGGCAGCCAGTTGTGCACAGCAGTGTCCACAAACAGTTGCGGATTGAAATGACCAATTTTTTTTTCTTGAGGGATTACTATCAGGCGTGTAGAGTAAGGAAACTTGCCCAAGGTTTTGCCCTGCCGGGAATCGAACCCAAGTCTCTTGTTTGGAAAATTAGTGCTCTAACCCCTGAGCTACAGGACTCCACGTAGATAATAACATTAATAGTTTAGATGTTTGGGGATGTCTGTCCCTTCCAAGGGGGTTTGAGTATTTAACCTGACACACTGAAAACATGGAGACATGGAGTCTGGGAGCTGCCGAGATGGACAGTTACATTTTGTGGGATGGACCACGTGATTTTATATTTCTTTTATATAATTTACGATATGAGAGCAGAAATCAGCCTCAAGACTGTGCCTGGTTGTATAGAGCTCAGAGAGAAAGAGATCTGTCCCTCATAGGATTGTATGGGTTAATAAAAATCTGTTGCATCTTCTCAGCAGTGCCTTTGAGTATCTGTTAAATCTTTAAGGAGGGAGGTATCGAAATACCCAAAACAGGTAGTTGTCGCATTCAGTAGCCTGGTAGTGCGTTAAGGCACTGAGGACAGCATCTTGATTGCATGGGCAGTAAGTCAACCGGGAAAATCTGTCATGTCGCTCCAAATAGTGAAGTTCCACAAGAGTAGGGATTTGTACTCACAGAGTTAGGAGTGAATACAGAGGCCACCGAGTATACTTTGCGTTTCCAAACTTTGCGGAATACATAAAGGGTGAAAACCGTCGCAAGGTGTAGAATAAATCTTTTTAAAAGAAGATATTAATATCGCTGTATCACCCATGATTTATACATACACTAAATCTAAATCCATTAGATAAAAAGAAGCAGGATTAAAATGTCTTCAAATTAAGCCTTAGATTGCTACAGGTATATGGAAATTCCCATTTTTGTGGCCACCAGAATATATATTTTCAATATATATATATATTTTCAACTGTCATTGGCAAAATACCAATACGAGATCAGAATAGCTTTATAACTATCACTGTAATTTGCTCCTAACCTATAAAAATACAAAAAAGGAACATTATTAAAAACATGAACTATTGTAAACATGTTGATGAACTACTTCGACAGATGAGAGTTGGATATCATTGCAAACCAACTCAGGAACAATTGCACATCTGCCTAATCCAAAATATTAGGTTTAGAACTGAAAAACACTGCGTTAATTGCTGTAGCAGTAACTGATCTTGAGATCATATCTCATATCATATGTGAGGATAATGCAACATGGACTGTGTCATCACAGATATGCGAAGGGGAAAATCAAACTACCCCCCACTGGCTTGTTGGTCAGCACTGCAAAGTGTAACCTAGGCCATCCTGGTAAAATCTACTCCAATTTGTTACAATCAAGGCTGGTGGATTTCCCCACTGCATTAAAATCCTAAAGTCTGCCCTAAGATCTACCTCTTTCCCCTCCCAACCTCCTCAGCTCACAACCCCAGGTGGGGGAGGGGAGAGGGAAGGCAGAGAGGTGGGAGGAAGACCAAAGGCATGGTCGAAGAGAAGGGTCTTAAGACCGGCCTTGAAGGAGGCGAGGGAGGAAGCGAGTCAAAGGGACCGTGGGATGGAGTCTCAGAGTGTGAGGGCAGACAGGCTGAAAGTCCGGCCACCGATGGTAGGGCGGGTCAGGCGGGAGACATGGAACAGGCCTGAAGGGAGGGAGCGGGCAGGTTGGTAGGGGGTCAGCAGGTCAACTCCTACTCCTGCTCTTCACTGTCCCGAGCAACACAATGAGATTAGGATCCGAGATGAGGAATGCGTACCGTGTGTTCTGACCTAGTTGTATCAAATCCTTCCTAAAAAGCACCTGTTACACCTTTTTTCTTTCTGTTGAATCTGTTTCTTGCTTTTACCGACTGTACCTGACGAGCTGCTGATCCTCGGGACGGTGGACATCGCATGTGGAATCTGGGAATAGGAACGCTGAAGATGTCCTTTTTACTACTGAGTCGGTGGAAGGTGTAGTACCCTTCCATGTATCCTGAAGGTGTAGTGAAAGTAGTGCAGCTCGTGTACTCGTGAACATTTCCTGGTCGCATCACTGGGAATTCACCTACATTGTAAAACATTAAACAATAATCTTACAAAAAAAATTTTGGAGTCAAAAAAAGATTTATCAAAAGCGACTATTTCTGCTCAGTCATAAACCTAGAAAATAGAAACAGATTTTCCACATTACCTGCCTTCTGCCTCCTCGCTGCTCCTGTGCCTTATATTATGGGAATAACGTGCCCAGACAGGTCCATTGCACATGAAATGAGTCTTTAGATAATGATTTGTAGAGGACAAGTTTGTGGGGGAGTGGGGTTGATCAGGGCTATGGGGAGAGAGCGGGGGAGTGGGGTTGATCAGGGCTATGGGAGAGAGCGGGGAGTGGGGTTGATCAGGGCTATAGGGAGAGCGGGGGAGTGGGGTTGATCAGGGCTATGGGGAGAGAGCGGGGGAGTGGGGTTGATCAGGGCTATGGGTAGAGAGCGGGGAGTGGGGTTGATCAGGGCTATGGGGAGAGAGAGCGGGGGGTGGGGTTGATCGGGGCTATGGGGAGAGAGCGGGGGAGTGCGGTTGATCCGGGCTCTGGGGAGAGAGCGGGGGAGTGGGGTTGATCAGGGCTATGGGGAGATCGGGGGACTGGGGTTGATCAGGGCTATGGGGAGAGCGGGGGAGTGGGGTTGAATTGAAAGCTCTTTTCAAAGAGCCGCACAGACACAATGGGCCGAATGGCCTCTTCCTGTGCTGTATAATTCTATGATTCCAATTGCGCACAGCAGTGTCCCACCAACAGTTGTGGATTGAGTGACCAAATTGTTATTGTTTTATTTTTCTTGAGGGATTATTATCAAGCGTGTGGAGTAAGGAAACTTGCCCAAGGTTTCGCCTTGCTGGGAATCGAACCCAGGTCTCTCACTTGCGAGGTGAATGCTCTAACCACTGAGCTACAGGACTACAAGACCTGGATTCCTGTAGGCTTCAAGATCCCCCTCTTCAACTGTGCATTCACCCTCCTATCCCTACCCTCCCCATGTCCACTCCTCCAGATCCCAATCACTAGCTAATACGGATCCCTGACTGTCCTGACTGGACTTGAAAGGGGCTAAAGAAATGTAATTTGTCATGGTTCTCTTTCTTCCCTCTGTATTCAATACATACCTACAACACCCGGTCCTTGAACCTCCTCAACATTGCCATTTGCATTTGTTATCTTCCAGTATCGACTGTCCAATTGACAGGCATTCTCGGGCATGGCTTCCTTTGCCATCTCAATTCTGCACAAACAGGAAAAGCAACAGTTAATTCCTTCAGGGCCCAGCAGCAACACTTCAATCAAATTTAACAATCTGATCAATCAAATCCAAAATCCATCACTGTGTGTGACTGAGAGAGGGGGAGGGAGCGTGCCTGGACATTGTTGTGCACAATTAATGGTGTCCCTCATGTTTCAGTGGTACTGGAGTTGAAAGGATTTTGCTATGTGGAGGCTAGAGAAGTTTGGACATTTCCCTTTGGAGCAGAACAGGTTGAACGGTAATATGATAGAGGTATGAAAGGGTTTAACTGAATTAATTGTGAAACACTCTTTATGGTAGAGAATTCAAGGGCAAGAATTCAAGATTGTAACGAGAGAAGTAAAAGGAGAGGTTTGACAACTTCTCCCAAAGGATAGTCAGGGTAGGGAACAATTTGCTAGGGGTGAGTATTAGGGTAGAGATAACAGGGGACATTTAAACAAGAACTGAACAAGCACATGCAGTTAGAATATTAGTGGATCCAGAGAAAAAGCAGAGAATTGGGATTGGTATAGATGGCTTTTTAGAGGAGCAAACACCAACATGAAAAATAGGTTAAATGGCCTCCTAATATGTCGTATAGGAGTTCCAGAATTCAACCTCACCTGATTCTGTATGAGAAGAAGTAATGTGGGGGATGGACTGAACTGAGCTCTGGCAAGAAAGATGTAGACACAGATATAATGATATCCCCAGTTCTAGTGACACATGTTTTATCATGAACATACCTGTAAAAAAGAAAAAGCAGTCACAATCCTAGCCCTGACTGCTCTCTTCCCGCTCATTCCTCCCAGCAATGCTGCTCCTACACGTCTTCTGTTCCCAGGAATACTTCAGCTTCCTACTCGAGAATAACATCACTGAATACAAGCAGCCTGCAGCAGACACATTTATTGTATCACTTCATATGCCGCTGACAGAGAACAAGATGATACCTTTGTAAAACACTAGTTAGGCCTCAGCTAGAGACTGTTCAGTTCTGGGTCCCACACTTTAGGAAGGATGTCAAGGAGAGGGTGCAAAGGAGGTTTATCAAGATGGTACTAGGAATGAGGGACTTCAGTTATCGGGAGAGGCTACAGAAGCTAGGATTATTCTCCTTGGAGCAGAGGAGGTTAAGAGGAGACTTAATGGAAGTTTTCAAAGATGAGGGGATTCGACAGAGCGAACAAGGAAAACTATTTCCACTGGATGGTGGGTCGGTAACGCAAGGTCACCAATTTAAAATAGTTGTTAAAAGAAACAGAGGGGAGGTGAAGAGAAATTTTTCACACAGCGAGTTGTTGGGATCTGGAATTGCCTGAAAGGCTGGTGGAAGCCAATTTGATAACAGTTTTTAAGAGAGAAGCAGATAATTATTTGAGGAGGACAAGTTTGCAGGGCTATGGGGAGAGAGTGGGGGAGTGGGGTTGATCAGGACTATGGGGAGAGAGCGGGGGAGTGGGGTTGATCAGGGCTATGGGGAGAGAGTGGGGGAGTGGGGTTGATCAGGGCTATGGGGAGAGAGCGGGGGAGTGGGGTTGATCGGGGCTATGGGAGAGAGTGGGGAGTGGGGTTGATCAGGGCTATGGGGAGAGAGCGGGGGAGTGGGGTTGATCGGGGCTATGGGGAGAGAGTGGGGGAGTGGGATTGATTTGGAAGCTCTTTTCAAAGTTCCGGCACAGACATGATGGGCCGAATGGCCTCCTTCTGTACAGTATAATTCTATGATACAAAATAATTATTTTTTTATTTTTAAAATGGCTCTAGAAATAGCTGATGTTAACACAAGGCATGACTCCAATCCCACCTGAAGATCTGCTCGCGGATGATTGGAAACCCTCCAGAAACGACACTGTGAACATATGAGGTAAACCATTCTGTGAACGAAGCACCTACAGAAACAGCAAAAGCATTACTGTGCCATGGGTCTACACTGCTTTTTACAGCGCATATGGGCTCAAAGCTTATTTCTTACATCTGTTATAGTAAGATCAAAGTAAAAGGTGTGATTACATTTACATCTGGAACAAGATTGAGAACTGGATTAGAAAAGATCAGGAAAGGACAAGCCTCAGAGTCAGAAGGTTGTGGGTTCAATTCCCACATTGGGTTTTTGAGCTAATCTAATACAGTGCTGCAGGTTTGTGGAGTCCTGTAGCTCAGCTCCTCCTCAAGGGGGAGCATGTAGATATGAAAGAGGAGAGGGCCAAGGACAGAGCCCTGGGGGACGCCAGATGTGACAGTGCGGGGGCTGGAGGAGAAACCGTTAGAGGCAACAAAGTGGAGCCAGTGAGAGAAATAGGAATCGAACCAGGCAAGGGCAGGTCCGTGAAGATTGAGTAAAGTGGAGAGAACACCTCCAAACGCCTCACAGAATCTACTGTTTGGATAACAGTGAATGTATATTTTATAGACAAATGTGGCAACCATGCCCCACAAACGGCCATGAAGTGAATGTTATCAATAACAATCATTTATGCACAATGGGATAACACTTTGGAGCACTTCGCATTGTTGTGGTTAGAAGCTGAGAGGTGGAGAAGGGAGAGGTGACATCAGAACCAAAGAAATAGGTCTTAAAGTGGGACTGAAAAATAGGAGGCAAGGAGGAAGGTTAGAGACTGCGAGTTTCAGAGATTAGGGTCATAGTGACTGAAGACTCAGCCATCAGTTGTTGCAAGGATACCGGGAGAAATGCCCTACACTTATCAAAAGAGTCGTGGGATCTTTAACATCCACCTAAACAGGCAGCTGGGACCTCAGTTTAATGTCTCATCCAAAAGGCAAAACAGCTCCATTTCTACACCAGATTCCAAATTTAAAATTGTGGACAGCAACTTATTTTACCCCAAATTTTTGAGGTGGGCGGGCTGGTTTCACACTTTCTGAGGTGCCCCAAAGCCATGAAGCACCATGGCTTTGGGGCACCTCAGAAAGTGTGAAACCAGCCCGCCCTCCCCTCCCAGCCTGTCACCTCCACCCAGCCCGTCCTCCCAGAGCAGAGGGCCCAGGGTCGGTGACGACTGCCTTCCCGGATTTATAGAAGAGAATCCCATGATTTGGGGAGCGCCATTAGCATCTGGGGTTCCCGGGATTGCAATCCCTAATCCCTGCTGCATCCCAAAGCACTTCACAAGTAATTGTTGTCAAGTATAGTGAACGTGTAGAATTATAGAATCATACAATTATACAGCACAGAAGGAGGCCATTCGGCCCATTGTGTCTGAGCCGGTTCTTTTAAAAGAGCTTCCAAATCAACCCTACTCCCCCGCTCTTTCCCCATAGCCCTGATCATGGAGTCCTGTAGCTCAGTGGTTAGAGCACTCGCTTTGCAAGCGAGAGACCTGAGTTCAATCCCCGGGGGTCAGGGCCAAACCTTGGGCAAGTTTCCTTACTCCACACAGAGCCTAATAATAATCCCTCCAAAACCAAAACCAATAATAAATTGGTCATTTTCAATCTACGACTGTTTGTGGGACATTGCTGTGCGAAATTGGCTGTCGCGTTCGCCCACAAATATAGTCAATTCACTTTACAGTGTGTTCTGTGAAGCGCTTTGGGACGTCCTCCCGACGTGAAGAGCGCTATAACAAATGCAAGGATTATTATTATTATTATCATCCCCACTCCCCGCTCTCTCCCTACAGCCCTGATCAACCCCACTCCCCCGCTCTCTCCCCATAGCCCTGATCAACCCCACTCCCCCGCTCTCTCCCCATAGCCCTGATCAACCCCACTCCCCCGCTCTCTCCCCATAGCCCTGATCAACCCACTCCCCCGCTCTCTCCCCATAGCCCTGATCAACCCCACTCCCCCGCTCTCTCCCCATAGCCCTGATCAACCCCACTCCCCCGCTCTCTCCCCATAGCCCTGATCAACCCACTCCCCCGCTCTCTCCCCATAGCCCTGATCAACCCCACTCCCCCGCTCTCTCCCCATAGCCCTGATCAACCCCACTCCCCCGCTCTCTCCCCATAGCCCTGATCAACCCCACTCCCCCGCTCTCTCCCCATAGCCCTGATCAACCCCACTCCCCCGCGCTCTCCCATAGCCCTGCAAACTTGTCTTCCCCAAATAATTATCTACTTCTCTCTTAAAAGTTGTTATGGAATCGGCTTCCACCAGCCTTTTAGGCAATTCCAGATCCCAACAACTCGCTGTGAAAACATTTCTCCTCCCCTTGCCTCTGTTCATTTTAACAACTATTTTAAATCGGTGTCCTCGGGTTACCGACCGACTCGCCAGTGGGAATAGTTTCTCCTTGTTCACCCTATCGAATCCCTTATCATTTTGAAAACTTCTCTTAAGTCTCCTCTTAACCTTCTCTGCTCCAAGGAGAATAATCCCAGCTTCTCTCGCCTCTCCTGATAACTGAAGCCCCTCATTCCTGGTACCATCCTGGTCCATCTCCTTCACACCCTTGACATCGTTCGTCAAGTGTGGGGCCAGAACTGAACACAGTCTCTCGCTGAGGCCTAACCAGTGTTTTATATAAAGGTTTATCATAACTTCCAGACTTGTGTATCCTATGCCCCTATTTATAAAGCCCAGTATCCCGTTTGCTTTTTTAACAGCTTTATCTGCCTGTCCGGCCACCTTCAAAGATTTACTATATGACCCCCAGGTCTCTCTGTTCCTTCACCCCCTTTAAGATTGTACCATCAGCTTATATCGTGGAGTCCTGTAGCTCAGTGGTTAGAGCACTCGCCTTGCAAGCGAGTCACCTGGGTTCAATTCCAGGCAGGGCAAACCTTGGGCAAGTTTCCTTACTCCACATACAATAATAATCCTCCAAAACAAAACAATAATAAATTGGTCATTTTCAATGTACGACTGTTTGTGGGACATTGCTGTGTGCAATTGGCTGCCGCGTTCGCCCACAAATATACAGTCAATTCACTTTACAGTGTGTTCTGTGAAGCACTTTGAGACGTCTAGATGTGAAAAGCGCTATATCAAATGCAAGAATTATTATTGTTATTATATTGCCTCTTCATTCTTGCTCCCAAAATGCATCACTTCGTATTTCTCCACATTAAACTTCAACTGCCACGTGTCTGCCCATGTTACCAGTCTGTCTCTGTCCATTTGCCGTCTGCTACTATCCTCCTCACTGTTTACTACTTTTCCAGCTTAGTATCATCTGCAAACTTGGAAATTGACCTCCCTATACCCAAGTCCAGGTCATTTATACAGATCACAAACAGCAGTGGCCCCAATACCGACCCCCAGGGGGGACACCACCGCACACTTCCCTCCAGTCAGAAAAACAACCATTCACCACCGCTCTCTGTCTCCCAGCCGGTTCTGTATCCGCTGCCACTGTCCCTTTAATACCGGGGCTTCTATTTAGCTACAAGTCTCTTATGTGGTACTTTATCAAACACCTTTAGAAAATCCATATAAACTACAACAACTGCACTCCCTTCATCCACTCTCTCCGTTACTTCATCAAAAAACTCTATCAGGTTTGTTAGATATGATTTGTCTTCAACAAATCCGTGTTGGCTGTCCTTTATATTTTTCTAAGTGACAATTTATTTTGTCCCAGATTATAGTCTCTAGAAGATTCCCCACTACTGGCGTTAGGCCGACTGGCCTGTAGTTCCCAGGTTTATCCTTCTGCCCCTTTTTGCGCAGGGGAGTAACATTTGCAACCCTCCTGTCCTCTGGCAACACCGCGATATCCAAGGAGGATTGAAAGATTGTGGCTAAAGACGCCGTTATTTCCACCCTGACTTCCCTCAGGACCGGGTGACTTATCTACCTTGAGCACCGACAACCTTTTTTTTAGTACCTCCTCTCGATTTATTCTTACCTTATCCAATTTCTCTCCCCTCTCCTCCAATATTGTGGCATTGACTTCATCCTCTTCTTTTGTGAAGACAGATGCAAAGTACTCATTCAGTACGTCAGCCATGCCCTCTGCCTCCACAAGATGATTTCCTCTTTGGTCCCAAATTGGCCCCACCCTATCTTTGACTAACCGTTTATTCTTTATATGCTTATAAAATACCTTAGGGTTTCCTTTATGTTCCCTGCTAATCTTTTCTCATACAATCTATTTGCTCCTCTTATTTTTTCAGTTCTCCTCTGTACTTTCTATATTTTGTTTGATTATCTTCTGTATTTTGGAACTGATATTTATCGTAAGTATCCTTTTTCTGTTTTATTTTAATCCCAATTTCCTTATTCATCCAGGGAGGTTTGGATCCCCTACCTTTCCCCTTTGTGGGAATGTATTTGTTCTGTCCCCGAACCACCTCTCTTTGTAGCATTTGTAGTAAAACTTGCCAGCTATTTTGAGCACACTAAGGCCTCACAACAAATATGTAGTGAATTACCAATTTATCTGGAGGATTGCTCTCAAGCACATTGGGGAAAAATAAGCTACTCTTTCAAATAGTGTCACAGAATCTTTAATGTCCACCATAACAGGCATGTTGGTCTTTAGTGTCTCATCTGAAAATAATTTCCAACAATTATTCCAATTCCCCGTAGTATTATAGTACAGCTGAAACCCATCAGTGTTTGAACCCAAATCCTTCTGACCCAGAGGAGGAGTGCGCTATCAACTGAGCCATGTTACCAGGCTTAGCTACTGAAAAGACACTGAAAATACCTTTGACCACACAGAACTGTACCTGTGATGAACATGTCTACCACTGATGGGTCACAGGCCATCTGGTCCTATAGGAGAGAATACAAATAGTCCAATACAAGAATCTGCCAATCCATTCAGTGATTTGCTTTTTCTAATCAAGCAGCAGCAACACTCACTATTGCCAGAAAAGAAAATTTTCTAAAGAAAATGTTAAAAATATTCAAAACAGTTCAGATTCCCTGTGACGACAAAGGGATCACGAGAATAAAAAGACATAGAAAGCACTCTGCTGTGTTGGTGATCCTTGATTGCAAAATTAACTTGTAGGATTTTGAGAAGTGAGCTGATCTGGATTGTTATGCCGGCATATTCCAGATATTTGTGGAGTCCTGTAGCTCAGTGGTAAGAGCGCTTGCCTCCCAAGTGAGAGACCTGGGTTCTATTCCTGGCAGGATGAAACGTTGGGCAAAGAAGTTTCCTTACTCCACACACCTCTGTTTACCTAGCAGTAAGTAGGTTGTTAATCGATTGGTGATTTGCCTTTCCGGGGATAATAATTCCTTCAAAAAAAATAATAAAAATAATAAAGTGATCACTCAATCCACGAATGTTCGTGGAACACTGCTGTGCTCAATTGGTTACGTTTCGCCTAAAATATACACAGTCAATTCACTTTACAGTATATTCTGTGAAGTGCTTTGAGACATGTCAAAGACCTGATAGGGCGCTATATCAAAAATTAAAGGATATTCAACAACAACGACTTCCATTCACAGTGATGAAGTCTGACCAGCCAAGGGGAGAGGGAGGGGCAGGTGACCGTAACCGCAATCAAAAATGAAGGTATTTAGGCGGGATTTAACAGTGGGAAGGCAGGGGGTAAGGCGGAAGGATCAAGTGGGAGAGTTCCAGAGTTTCAGGACATTGTGGTTGAAAGCACAGCCAACGATGGTGGAGTAGAAGGCACGAAAGACAAACAGAAGTCCGGAGCCAGCCAAGCGGAGGCAGGCGGTGGTGGAGTGGGGGGTAAGCAGGTCGGATAGGTAGGAGGTAAGAGGGAATTACGTGATTTGAAAATGAGTGAGAGGATGTTGAAGTTGATCTGTTTGGTGATTGGGAGCCAGTGGAGCCTGGCGAGGGATGGAGTGATGGGGGTACGGAGTTTTATTCGGGTTAGTATCCGGGCAGCAGAGTTTTTAATTAGTTGTATTTTGTGTATGGTGGAGCTGGGGAGACCAGGGAGGAGGGCATTTGAATAGTCAAGCCAGGAAGTGACGAAAGTGTGGACGAGGGTTTCGGCTGCTTTTGTTGTGAGATATGGACGGAGGTGCAATGTGGCGGAGGTGGAAAAAAGTGGTCCTGGTCAAGGAATGGATGTGAGGTAGAAAGGAAATTTGGGGATTGAACCTGACACCTATGTTGCACACTGGTTCGGTGAGTCTGAGGGAGAGCCTGGGGAGGTTCAGGAGTTCAGACCTGCAGGAGTGAAGATATTGACAGGAGCCAATGAGTATGACTTCTGTCTTGCCAACATTCAGCTGCGGGAAATTTGCGTTTATCTCGGCCTTGATGTCCGTCAAACAAGCTGACAGCACATTAGTGAACTAGGAGTCATAGCTGAAGGAGAAGTAGATTTGGGTGTCGTCTGCATACATGTGGAAGTTGACCCCGTGTCTGTGGATGACATCGCCTAGAGGGAGCATGTAGATAAGGAAAAGGAAGGGGCCAAGGATGGAGCCTTGGGTTACCCCGGACGGTGGTGGGAGGAGAAATCCTTTGCCGAAATGTATTGTTGGTGGTTAGTCAAGTTGGACTTGAATCATGAGAGTGCGGTCCCACTAAGGTGTATGAGGTAGCAGAGGCAGTGGAGGAGGATGGCGTGATCGATTGTGACGAACGCAATGGAGAACTTGAGGAGGATGAGGCAGAGGGAGCCCTGGTCACAGAGAGAGGACGTCATTTGTTACTTTGCCAACCGCTGTTTCTGTGGTGTGGGCAGGGCGAAAACCGGACTGGAGGGGCTTGAGTAGCAAGTGGAGGGAGAGGTGTGAGCGAAATTGGAGAGGGAATGAGGGGGGTGGGGATGGTGTGGGATATGGGGAAGGAGGAGGTGGCCAGACAGGCTGTGGAAGAGTCCAGGAGAGAGAGGTGAGGAAGGCGGTGGGAGCGGACAGAGGCCGAGTAGCAGAGGGTGTTGTGTAGAAATGGGGGAATCTTTAGAGGGACTGGCTCGGATCGGGGGCGGTAGCCATTATTCAAGTCGGAGACCCTGCTCAAATCCCCTCAAATCATATCCACCGCCCAAAATTCTAGATACTTATAGTAATTTCACTTGGTCAAAGTACAAGAGGGCTAATGGCAAACTGTACCCCGTCAGGAATCAACACTTCAAGAGGAGAAACAAATTGGAGGTGAGCCACAGACTGGATAAGCAAAATTGAAAAGAAAAAAAGAAAATGTCCTGAGCTAAGAGAAGGGGAAAGTGCGAGAAAGACAATAGTTGTCGTCTGTTGGGAGAACTGAGGATTCTGATCTTAATATTCCATGTCCTTACCGCACAATGGTAGAATATTTCACAGCGATGTCGCCCTTCCACATCATCAAGTGCCATGTACTGGCTGAGTCCAGTGTGGATGCAGAATGTTAAAGGAAAGCAATGCTTGAGACCCCTCCGCTGCTGGAAGCCTCCTGCAGCCGTGTCAACGTCTAACAGATCTTCTGAACGATAATGGCTGGATAATGCCATGCTGCCCATCAAGCTGTGCCGTGTGGAGAGCAGCTTAGTGTTTATACAGGAGAGTGGACAAGGTTTGAAGTTAACATTATTTATCAAATTGTTATTGCTCTAGACCTTTGGTGCTAAAAACGCAGGTGTATTTTCAGACAAATTTTATCAATAATTTCATGAATAATAATAATAATCCTTGCATTTGATATAACGCTTTATCACATCTTCAAGACGTCTCAAAGCGCTTCACAGAATATACTGTACAGTGAATTGACCGTATATATTGTGGATGAAACGCAGCAGCCAATTGCACACAGCAGCGTCCCACAAACAGTCATGGATTGAATGACCAAATTATTATTTTTTTTAAAAAGTGTTCATTACCCCGGAAAGTGATCCACCAATCAACTAACAACTAGGTTCCTACTTACTGCTAGGTAATCAGAGGTGTGTGGAGTGAGGAAACTTGCAAAACAGTTTCACCCTGCCCAGGAATCAAACTCAGGTCCTCTTGTTTGCGAGCAAGTGTTCTAACCACGAAGCTACAGAACTACATAATTCTACACAGAATTTTTAACAAGGTAACAATAAAATTTCCATGCAGAACTACTCAATTGCTCCATCAAACCACGATCCTCAATGTCCCACAAGATGCCCTAGAACGTATCTATCTCCAAAACCAATAATTAAATCCTTTTAATAGAAATTATATTGAAACAATATGGATTTATATAGCGTCTCTCATGCAGGGCAGCGTCCCAGAGCAGTGGCAGAGCACAACACTGAACCGGTGGGGTGTGGGTGGAGGTAACCGTGGGCACAGTAAATCAAGGATCTTCATTTGCAATCTGAAGATGGGAAAAGAAGGGGCAAGGCGGAGGGATAGAGGAAAAATGTTTTGGGGCGTAGTGGCTGAAAGCGGGACCACTGATGATGAAACGGAGGGCATGAGAGACATGCAGAAGGCTGGAGCCAGTCGAGCGGAGGCAGTGGGTAGTGGGTTGGGGAGTTAAGCAGGTAGGGAGGTGTTAGGGAATGAAGGGATTTGAAAATAACTGTGAGAAAAATTATATGTAGTCTTTTGATCCTTCTAGTCTAAAATAGCTCTTTCAACAACAAATGCATTTGTATAGTGCCCTTCACCTAATGACTCAGACAATTTTACAGAGATGGTATCAGACACTGAGCAGGGGGTGAGGGAAGAGAAAGGTGAACATTGACATGGTTGAAGAAGTGTGTTTTTAGGTGTTTGCAGGCATATAGAGAGGTGGTACTGGTGCAGGTACTGCTGGAGGAGCAGCTGAAAATATTTTAATATTGTCATGGTTTTAGTCACAACATTCCATGCTCTTCTATTATCGCCCTTAATGGTTTCAGTACTGTCAATTCACCAACTAGTGGAAATAATATTTCAGTATTTTGTTGCTTGCTGTGATAAACAGACCCAATTTTAGTGTAAATTCATAATTGTAGTAGAATCCTGTTATAATGCATTTCACTATAGCACAAGTTCACGTACTGTGCTTTGAAAATGTGGACCCTGACAGTTACAACCCAAAATACAAAACAAGTTGCATTTTTATAGCGCTCCTCACGCAGGGTAGTGTCTCAGATGCTGTGGTACATAACGCCACAGAAAGCTGGCTGTACAGGATCTGGATCATCAGGGTCACTGACAGCCATTAACTCGCAGGAAGTGATATGAACAGTGTCCTGTTGACCCAGAAGTCAGACAATATTTAGAGAAGTAAGTCAGTGTGAGCAAATTGGCTGCCACATTCACTTACAGTCACTACACTTCATAGTAATTCCTGTGAAGCACAATGAAACGACAATCAATGGTAAAAGTAAACTCCAAGCTTACCGGACTCCGGACCAGGTCTGAAACCAAAAAATTTAAACAATTTCCACAGGCCTGCATGTAGACTACCGACTCCCAACTCTTCTAGCGCACACCAGCGTCCTTATTCACTATCTGCTGCTCACGGGATTAAACTGCTCACAATTAAATTGCCCTACAGCTGGTAAATACTGGCATTTACCAGCATTTTTCGGCAATGGAACCCAGCATTGTAATTACACTTAGCAAGAAATTCTGGTTTGCCAGACTGGAATCCCCCCTTATATTAGTCCGATTTGCTGGGATTTAAGTGTATATCAAATGCAATTGTTATTATTTTACCTCTTATGTGATATTTTAACAAATTCAACTGATTGAACTAAATGCACTGAATACAAAAGTATTCATATACTTTTTATATACTGAATACAAAAGTTCTTCGAAAAAGGATGTCAGTACAAAGAAGTCATCCAGAGGTACCTCAAACACCTCGAAAATCTCAAGTGGGGCCCAGGGGGCTGGGAATCGGTCACTCAGCTGTTGTCTGAAAGAGGTAGAGGAAGAGAGAACTAAACATAGTTAATCTGCAACAGTACCTTACCCAGGAACCACTAGGCGCTGCCCATTGTGTATCCGAAGGGAACAGCGATAGTCATTGGGGAGCTTGAAGCCAATCTTCTCTTCTGTAGTATTGAGTTGCTGCTCTGTTACGCCTACTGTGGAGACAAAAAAGTCAAATATAGAAATAGAACACTGAAACAGCCTCAAACTAAAACAAGCAATGAGAGAGGGAAAGGATTGTGGACCCAAAGGCCACAGACCAAAACACACACACACACACAAAGACATCATGTCCATGGATCAATACATCCTCAAAACAGCAACCCACCTAAAGTTGAACATGCAAAGCTAATAACTGTTTGACACATTAAAATAATTGAATAAACATTGTAAGAAGACAAATATGACAGAGTACAAGCAATTGGGATTACAGCAGTTAGCCCTAGCTGGGAGCTTGTATCAATTTAGCCTTAATGTGTTGAATGGCCTCAACCTGGTCTGTATTAAATCTACGATTAAAATTTGACACAAAACTCCAGAGCTGAATCTTTTTTAACACAATTCCCCCATTCCGTATTATCATCTCCAGTTCTAGCTGCTGAGTAGCATACTACCTATTTATATAAACCTCCTTTACAAAGTACTATGCTAAATATTAAGCTCATAATTACAATATATAGACAAATATTTGTTGAAGAGAAACATTAAGGGGTACGGGGAAAGGGTGAGGAAGTGGAGTTCAATGGGTAAAATCTATGATTCTATAATACAAAATGTAGAATTATAAAAGGTACAGCCTGGAGAACCTACTTCCCTCCCACATTACTAAAAGGCACAGGCTAGAAAGGGCATGATCATGATCATCAAACATAATTTAGTATAGCACCTTTCTTGTCGGATCCACCTGACTCAGGAACAGAACTAGAGACCGCAACAGAGGGTTGGCTGAATTCCAATATTCCATTGTCAGGCAGGTCATCTTGGAACTGAGCACTTTCTCCACACCACCCAGCCCCAGGATAGTCCCCAGTTGTTCATTTGTCATCTGTGCATGCTTGAGCCCTCACTAGGTGAACGGCAGGTACCAGGAGCTCCTGTGAGCTTCTCAGTGAGCAACACAACTCAGCAAGAAGTGCGTGAGAGTATTGCCACCATCTTTCTGCTCATAGCTCGGCCCTACTCATGGTTTCACCAGTTGGAACTTGGGCAGCAGATGCTTCCTCTCTGTAAACCAATCAAGATGGATTCTGAGCCCTGGATATGTTCACAAACTCAGATTCCAGATAATACCCTCCTGTAGCTGTCGCCTCAAGCCTCAGAGTTTCCTCATCAGTTAGTCAATGAACATCTGCCTTCAGTGGGAGGGCGGACCTTTACAAGAGAGCTTGTGACATGCCAGCCACTTTGATGTTCTGGAGTTCCAAGTCCAATGTTGTTTACCAGGCTTACTGAGCACGAGCTGCTTAATCCAGGTCCTCATGTGAGAGGCCTTGACACAGAAATAGTAATAATCCTTACATCTGATATAGCGCCTTATCACGTCATTGAGACGTCTCACAGTCGAAAAGGAAAGTTTTCAGGTGGGACTTGAAAAAGGGGAGAGGGCGCAATTCAGAGGGATTGAAGGAGAGTGTTCCGCAGTTTCGGGGCGTAGTGGCTGAAAGCTTGACCTCCAATGGTGGAGGGGAAGGTGCAAGGGACAATCAGGAGATCGGTGCCAGTCGAGCGGAGGCGCCGGATGGTGGATTGCTGAGTGAGGAGGTTGGAGAGGTAGGGAGGTGCCAGGGAATTCATGGATTTGAACAGGAGTGTGAGTTGATCCGTTCGGTGATGTGTGATCCCCATCAGTCTGGGCCAGAACTGGTGAGATGTGGATATGGAGTTTGGTCCAGGTCAGTGTGGGGGCAGCAGAGTTCTGAATGAGCTGGATTTTTTGAATAGTGGAGCTGGGGAGTCCAGCGAGGAGTGCGTTTGATTAAACCTGGCGGGAGGTGACAACAACAACAACAACAACAAGATTCCATTTATAAAGCGCCTTTCACGTCAGGAGGACGTCCCAAGGCGCTTGGGACGTCCGCATGCACAAGGATTTCAGGTGCATTTGGGATAAGATACGGTCGGAGGCGGGCAATATAGCAGAGGTGGAGTACGGTGGTCCTGGTCAGGGACCGGATGTGGGGGTTGGAAGGACAGCTGGGGGTTGAACCGGACGCCTAGGTTGCACACTGGAGTCTGAGGAAGAGCCCAGGGAGTTTGAGGAGTTCAGATCCGCAGGAGTGAAGACGTTGACAGGAGTCAACGAGTATGACTTCCGTCTTGTCCATATTCAGCTGCAGAAAGTTTGCACTAATCCAGGCACTGATAGAACATCGAACATTACCTGACAATCCCCTGCACTTCTTAATCCTGGACTTTGCAATGGAGCTACTCATACAGCGAAGCCCAGGAGCACCACATCATGGAGATTTACCTGATTACAGATACCCAATACACCGAACATACCTGATACAATACAAAATTACATTTGCACAGTGCCTTTCACGTTAGGAGGCCGTCCAAAGGCGCTGGACAGACAGGGATTTGGACCTGACGTGGGGGCCAGGATCGGGGAGCGTGGAGTGCACGGAGTGTAGGAGGGTGGCCAAACGCTCAGTTGAAGAGCAGGGTTTTGAGATGTGTGTTGAAGGAAGCAAGAGAGGGAGTAAAGCAAATGTGGCATGGAGTTCCAGGCTGAAGGCCCAATCGCCAATGGTAGAGCGGGCCAGGCGGGCGACATGGAGCACGCCACATCCTGCTGAGGGGAAGGAGCGGACAGGTGGGGTCAGCAGGTCGCAGAGGTAGGGAGGGGCAAGGCCGTTGAGGGCCTTGAAGGTGAGGACGAGGATTTTGAACTCTATTCTCTGGGGGATGGGGAGCAGTGGAGCCAGGTTAGGGTGGGGGTGATGGGGGTCACAGAGCCTGGTGAGAAGAGGATACAAGCTGCAGAGTCCTGGGTGATCTGCAGCTTGTGGAGGGAAGAGTTGGGAAGGCTGACAAGCAGAAAGTTGGCGTAGTTGAGCCTAGATGTGATGAAGGCATGTATGAGAGTCTCGGTGGCCTGAGAGGTGAGGCAGTGGCAGAGCCGGGCGATGTTGCGGAGGTGAGGGAAGGCAGAGCTTGTCATGGCACAGATATGGGGTAGAAAGGACAGTTGAGGTTCTGGAGTGGCTCGATGAAATGGAGAGTGCATCCTGGATGATGATATACCCGATGTACCACAAAGTTAATCTGCAGGGAGAGGAACTTAAAAAAGAAAATAACTAAAATGCAAGATAAGGTGATGACTAAGGTCATGAAGGTAATAACAAATGACTTTTGTCTTATTTAGGAGACAGCAGTGCTGAACTTAGAGATGTTTACAGCACAAAACTCTGTGGTTACCTTTCAATGATGCAATCATTCGGGGACATTGCACTTCCAGAAAAGCTTTTAGCTCCTCCCAAGCTGTCCTGACTTCAGCGTAGTGCTCGATGTAGCGCCCCAGGTCAGAGAAATACTCACAAAACATTTCCTTCCAGCTCAGTTTTTTCTCTGCTTTCTCTTCCCTAAGGAACAAAGCAGAGGTTACGGAGCCCTGGTCATAGATAGACAGAATGTAATTTGTCACTTTGACCAAGGCTATCTCTGTGCTGTCGATTGGAAGAGTTCCTAAGGGAGTGGCGGGAGAGAAAGGAGCAAAGCTGGAAAGCAACAATTAGTTCCAGGGCTTTAGAAAGAAAAGGAAGGTTGGAGATGGGGCGGTAGTTAATACTACATGGGAGGAGGCCATTTGGTCTATTTTACATTCAAGCATTTGCTCCTTTAAAAACAACAATTGTCACTTATACAGCACCTTTCACATAGGTTAACATCTCGTAGCTCTTTAGAGATAATGAGGGACTTCAGAATGGAGTTCCAGAGAGTGGGGCCGGATAGGTTGAAAGCCCATCCATTGATGGTGGGCAGTTAGGGCAGGGGACATGAAGCAGGCAACTTTGTTCTAAAAGAAAGAGTCCTAATCTCTCCAGCTTCTCCCCACAGCTGAGTAGATTAAAGCAAAGCTCATGCTGGTTTGTATTCAACTCTCAAGAATGCTTCAAGTTAATAAGAGGATATTATTCAGACTCACTCTGACACAAGCCAGTACTTGTGACACTGCACCTTCCACATGGGGTCATGGTTGCATAATTGATGCAGTCTTCGGCAGACACAGCTGCAACTAGGAAAAAATAGAATAATTTACCTTTAAATAGCGCCCTTCATGAGGGGTAGCATCTCTGAGTGCTTGATAGTGGCGGAAACTGAGACGAGGGAGGAGATGACCGTAAGCACGGTCTTCAGGCATGAAGTGGAAGGAGGGAACAAGGCAGAGGGATTGATAGAGAGAGCATTCCAAAATTTCAGGGCAAAGTGGCTGAAAGTACAGCCACTGATGATGGAGCAGTGGGATAAGGCACGAGCAGGAGGCCAGAGCCAGCCGAGTGGAGTCGGCAGCTGGTGAAGTGGAACGTCTTCCAATTAAGCAGGAGGGAGAGGTAGGGAGGTTCCAGCTCGCGAAGATATTTGTAGACCAGTGTGAGAATCTTGAAGTCGATCCGTTCTGTGATTGGGAGCCAGTGGAACCTGGCGAAGACTGGTGTGATGGGGTTATGGAGTTTAGAGTGGGTGAGTAAATCGGCGGCAGAGTTCTGAATTAAAGTTGTATTTTGCAGATTGTGTAACTGGGGAGAACGGCAAGGAGGGCATTGGAATAGTCTAGCCGGGAGGTATCAAATGCGTCGACGAGGGTTTTAGCTGTGTTAGGTGTAAGGTACGGTCAGAGGCGGGCAATGTGGTGGAGCTGGAGGAAGGCGGTCCTGGTTAGGGATTGGATATGGGGTAGGAAGGACAGCTAAGGATTAAACCTGACACCGAGGTTGCGCTGGGGAAGTTAAGGTCAGAGCTGCAGGAGCGAAGTTGTTGACGAGAGCCAAGGAGTATGGCTTCTGTCTTGTCAATGTTCAGCTACAGACAGTCACATATTTGGGTGACATCTGCATAGATGTGGAAGTTTACCCATGTCTGCGGATGACCTCGGTGAGAGAGAACATGACTGTTCGGGGCAGGAGGAAAAACCAATTGCGGATACAAAGTGTTGTCGGCTGTTAAGTAGGACTCTAACTAGGTGGGTGTGGTCTCAGTGAAATGGATCAGGGAGGAGAGGTGGTACAGGAGGATGGCGACATTGATTGTGTGGAGAGTTCCAGGACAAGGAGGCAGAGGGAGCCTTGGCCACAGAGAGAGAGAGAGGACATCATTTGTGACTTTGACAAGTGCTGTCTCTGTGCTTTGGGCAGGGCGGAAACTGGGCTGGAGGGGCTCCAGTAGGGAATGGAGATGTGTGAGCAAAGTTGATTTATAGTAATGTGTTCCAGAACTTTGGCCAAGAAAGGCAAGTTAGAAAAGAGCTGGTCATTTGTCTGGTTAGAGAGACCGAGGGTGGGTTTTTCCAGGAGGGGCGATTTTGATGACAGTAGTTTTGAAGGTGGGGTTGGGGTTGACTGGTTGACTGCGGCTCCGATCCATATGTTGCAGCTTAATGCCCACCACCATTGTGACAGCCCCTCCAAACACTGATGATGACAAAGCAGCCAGTCTGGCTTGTTGGCAGCACAGGTTGTTTTTTCCATTTGGCTCCTGTTAACCCTGCGAGCCAAAGCAGTAATGATCCTATCTGTGATCCTATCTGGACGAGCAGAGAGAAGCTTGTTAAGCAGTGCTCTCAATAGTAATCTTACATGGTTTTTAACTGGTTACACTCCAGGTATTACTCTGGGGTCCCCAAGTCTTGGCTCTTGTCAACCTGTGCCTAATACTCTCCGGAATTAGGTAAGCATGATACGTCCCTCCGGGGAGAGAGAGAACGATCTGTGCATTCCATCCCAACAATCTGTCTCTGGGATTTCCGTGTGTAGGTGGGATCCTCGGAAGTCTCGGCTTGGTTTGCAATCTCTTAAGCACAATGATGCATTTCCGCATGTGTCAGACACCCACTGACCAACAAAAAAGTGCTGTGTGTCCACACCAGACACAGGACCCCAGCGTCGCTGGTGACAGAC